TCTATCAATCGTCTCTGCAAGGTCAGGAATAAGTAGACAGTGATGACTTCAGACCAGCCGTCTTGTCTAAATGAGCCGGTCAGCATCCAGTTCCAAGTGGACACGATTGATTGTGGCATTTCATTTCTTATTTCCTAAAGTCCTGCATCAGTGCAGAAAAAGTTGCGAAAACACCATTTAAAAAAAGACAAGGGGCTTTTGTGATGGGAATTAGACACTCTAAACACGTGCGCCCTCAATAGCGGAGCACGTCACACTAGCATGTTCATATAAAACGATGTTGACACGTACACTTAGCCACATGCAGGGAGCTTAAAGCTTATCTTCCCTCACACACAAACACACATACAAGGGTTCGGTGTGTGTTTGATGGGCCTCGGGCTAAGTGACTGAGTGTGTGTGGAGAGCTCTCAAGGCTACTGACATTTACACGCAAACAGATATCAAACACGCTGCGCTGTCATGGGTCATCTGTCAAAACACAACTCTTAACCCTCGCTCCGGCTCTCACTCCAACTCAGGTGCACCTGGATGGAGATCTGTTAGCTCTCCCTCTTATCTCAAGAGCTTTTACATGTCAAATACACGTTAAAAGTAACAATTTACTTCCTCAAACATATTTGATCATCTTCATGTTGTCCCATGCCACTTTGATTTAGATTTATCTCAGTGTGACTCAGAATTAAGAGTTTTATTTCTTATTCTAATTAATACACCACCTTTCAGGGGTCAGACGTTTCTTATGCTCACCGAGACGATATTTATTTAATAAAATATACGATAAAATGTTTAATAAATAAATTGTGAAATGTAATTGCTGTTAAAAAATAATATAGTTATACTTTTTTATGCAGTTTTTATATTTGTATTCAGTTTTTTCCTTTTAATTAAGTTTTTTTTGTAAAGATGTTGTCTTGTTATTCAGATCAGTGCTAGGATGAAGATATAGTTAAAGTCATAAATACTAGTCCCTCTTTGATTTTTATTTTCTTTTTTAAATATTTTCAAAATGATGTTTAACAGAGCAGAAAAAATTTCCTAAGGAAGTCTAGCTTCCTAAGGAGCTAGTATTTGAATGATTCTCTAGCGTAATGTATATAGTGGTGACAAAACAGGTAATTTTGCTCACATTTTAAGATGACAAGGCTAAACGACACGAAATGCCATAAGTCTACAGAGATTCCCCAATATTTCACTGTTGTAATCGGCATATTAAAAATAATTAACCCTGAAAAAACCAAAGCAATGCAAATACTAGCAGATTACTATGATATAAATACAACATTACAACATACACAAGAGAGAGATTGACTTAGAAAGTCACTTACCTGTTCTATAATGATTTGTTCAGCTGTGGTTTGAAATTAAAATGGTAGTTTTTCTCCTTAAGGCTTATTATATGGTCTCTGTCGCCATCTTGTGGTGGAGCGTCAACCAACTTTGCTCAGCTCAGTATGACAGGCTGATGGATAACTAGTTTAAACTGCATAGTTGCAATCTAAACTACATACTTGCCTAAAAAAAGCCCCAAAAGTACATTATGTTGTCCAACAGCTGCAATATTTGTCAAACTGTAGTGAGTTTATTGATCTGCTGTCACTTTATGTGGGCGGAGTAATACAGAAGGGTGAAGAGGCTGTATAAGTGCTGTTATTGGAGAATATCGCATGGCTATCAGCCAATCTGATTGGAGAAAAGGACAGATTGTTATAAATAAATAAATAAATACATATATTTGAGTTTATTGAACTTTTGATTTGTGTACAATACAATTTTAGCTTTGATTTAGTATTTTTGTTGTATTTGTTGGTGTTTTTGAACACTGTTGTACACTATTGAGGAGTACAATTGCAAAAAAAAAAAATGATTTATGGAAATTATTAAAACTTTTTAGTCATTTTCAGAAATCATGTTTTTGCATTGAATATTGAAGGTACAGTTGCAAAAAATAAATTTTGGTTATCTTATTTTCCCAAATAAACTCTTCACATATTATTTTGATACATCACGATAGTACTTTTGGATATCTCGTGTACCAGCACCATGCACTTGCAGTATGGGCTGGTCAGTCAAATCCCCTGATTCAAACACAGCTCTGCGGTTCATACCGTGGAAAGTACATCTGCCAAATGGAGCAAAGTTTGACAACAACCTAAAGCGGCGAGAAAAACAATGTTTTGCAGGAAAAGTGGGGAGTTTTTGCAGCGCTGTTTGGCGTTTTTCTTTTGTCAGGGTGACATTTAAAGGCTTTTTAGGGGCAAACACAATTTGGCTGTCAAGCGCTCGATCTGAAATGGTGCAAGAGAAGAGACACGGATGGAGGGAAGAGGGAAGAGTGGAGCAGAAGAAGCAGGGGGGAATGTTTAAGGATGAGAGGACAGGAAAGAGAAAAAGAGAGACGTGTGCATGATTGAACATTCCACTTGTGCGGACGGGAAGAGAATAGCCGACAAATTACTTCAGCCACACTTCATCCCTCGCTCCTCGCTTTTGTCATCCGTTTCTCTCGCGCTCCTCCTTCACGTTCTTGCGCTAAACGTGCTGTAATTGATTGTGTGCTGTAATAGCAGAAGAGTGTTGGCAGAAATGAAGCATAAACAGCTCTCAGACGCTATTAGCTGGATCAATGACAGATGCTCTCTCGGTTTTCTCTTTAAGCATCTGCACCGTTCCTCATTCAGGATCAAAGCATCGTCGAATTCTGAATATTTCTCAGTTTGATGTTTTTCATGTCTCATTTGATCGGTTCGGTTTTGAAGCTGAAGTCTGTATCGACCCTCCTATCTTTAGCAGTTGCACACTGAGAAATACAGTACAATGCCCCCCCCCCCCCTCACACCCCACCCCAAAGTATTTGAACACTTAAAAGGTATGATTGTAATAGACAATGAAAAAGCAAATCACATTTATTGGTAACACTTTATAATAACTACATACCATGAGTCATTCATTAAACTTTAGCAAATGGTGAAATCATTATTTGTTTGTCATTAACTCTGCAGTACATTAAAAGACGATAGCAGTTATCAACAGCTTACTAGCATCTGTTGATGTAAAGTTAATGCTTAACAGATAAAGAATTAACTATTGCTAATGCTTAATAAATGATTCATAGTGTGTAGTCATTATAAAGTGTTACCCATTTATTTTAACCCATGTGGACTGGTCAAATTGACTACCCTTTCGTTTTGTTGGTAGCTGTTTTTGCCCTATTGGCATCAATTATAACCACATATTTGGTTGCGAAGCCATGACTCTTAAAAAGCATATATTTTTGATTGTTGTTTGTTTTCCCTCTTTGGAAGAGGTAAAACTTGTAATTTTTACTGCTGACAATCAAGAATGCTTGATTAGTTGGTGTCATGGCTTTGCGATCAAAACATGCCCTTATAATGGAAGTCAATGGGGCAAAAAGAGCCACCAACATATCTTAAGGGTGGTCAATTTGCCCAGTGTATTGTTAAGATTTTTAAAATTTTCCCAAAATATGTGTCAAAATAATATTTGTCATCAAAAATCATTCCATTTGCTGAAACAAAGACTGATGTGGCCAAATTAAGACTCAAAATCATCTCAGTGGATGAAAACATCCCCAACAGTACACAAGGGTTAATGGGTTAGTTCACTCCAAAATTTTTATTTTTGTAATAATTACTTAACCTCATGCCATTACAATCTACTGAGACCACGTGAACTGTTCAAATTGACTACCTTTTCATAATGTTGGTGGCTGTTTTTGCCCCATTGACTTCCATTATAACCACATTTTTTGACTGCACAGCCATGACACTTAATATTCATGCGTTCTTAATTGTTGTTGGTTTTCGCTGTTGGTTAGAGGTCAAAATAGTAATTTTTACTGCTGACAATCAAGATTGCATGATTAGTTGGTGTCATGGCTGTGCAATCAAAAAATGTCATCATAATGGAAGTCAATTGGGCTAAAAACAGGCACTAACATTACGAAAGGGTGGTCTATTTGCTCATAGTGTATTGTTGAGTGTTAAAAAAAATAATCCAAAGCATTTTTCCCAAATATGTGTCAAAATAGGATTTGTTTTCAAAAATCATTCCATTTGCTGATCAGAGAAAGTTTTGGCCAAAGACTCAAAATCACTCTAGAGTGAACGAAACATACCCAACAGTACATAAGGGTCAATGGGTTAGTTCACCCTAAATTTTAATTTTGGTAATAATTATTCACCCTCATGCCATTACAGTGTACTGAGACCTTTGTTTATATTCAAAACACAGATTAAGATATTTTAGAGCTCTCTCATCCTCCATTGACAGAAATGGACCTGAGACATTCAAAGTCCAGAAAAGGAGCCAAAAACATTGTCAAAATATTTCATGTGACTTCAGTGGATCATAAGAAGCTCCAAGAAAAAGAACGAAAACAAACAAACTGTAAAAATGCCATTGTTTACCTTAGCATTTCATGTTAGGTCAGGTTCGCACTATGAGCAATATAAGACTTGTGTGTTGTGCTGCTGACTGTGATATGAATACATTATACTGTCCATTGTAAATGCACACCATGACCTGACCCATCCTCAAAGAGAAGACATTTTTTTTGTTTGTATTATACATAGTATATATTTGTAAAGTATCATTTAGCTTTGTTTGTTTACAGTTTTTTTAACTTTTCTGGTTTCCTTTGAATATCTAAGGACTATTGCTGTCTATAGAGGGTTAGAGAGTTCTCAGATTTATTCTAAAATGTCTTCATTTGTGTTCTTAAGATGAACGAATGTCTGGAATGACATAAGGGGAAGTTAATTATAACCCTTTGTTCAGTTTTGGGTGAACTTACAATTTAAAGTACAACAAGACAAGCACAGTTTTAATTTTGTAAAAGTAATAAAACTATTTAAGTATTAAGTAAAATTATTTAATGATTTGTAGACTTGTCTTTACTTTTTATACTTGCCCACAATGTCTTTTTTCATACTGGCTTTATCCTCTTTTGAAAAAATCTTGTCTTTGTGTGTCTGTAGGGTTATGAAGTCCGTAAGATCAGAGCGATTGATCAGGACTTGGGTCGACCACGTGGAATTGGATATACAATCATATCAGGTTAGTAACATCTCTTTCAGCTGGAAATGAATAGGACAAACTCATATAGTCGCATCAAACTTTTAAATATTACATACTGTTTCACAATGTATACATGTATAATGTATATGTTTGACAGGGTAAGTTGTCATGATATTAGATGATGATAATAATAATATTCTTTTCATACAACAAAATGCAGTTGAAGTAAGAGATTATTAGCCCTTCTGAATTACTAGCACCCCTCGATATTTTCCCCCAATTTATGTTTAATGGAAATACGTTTTTTAACACATCTCTAAACAAAATAGTTTTAGTAACTGATTTATATTATCTTTGCCATGATGGCAATACATAATATATTTGCTTTTCAAGATCGTATTCAACTTAAAGTGACATTTAAAGGCTTAACAAGGCTAATTAGGTTAACTCGTTAGGGTAATTAGCAGTTCTTAAGATTAACACCCGTCAACCTGCCAAATACAGGTGGATTTCAGCTGTGACGTGTTAAGCTGCAGTCACACTGGGCTTTTCCTCCCATAAACTTCCATTCATACGCATGCGAATGCGTCAGACCGGAAAAGCAGGGTCATGCGTCAAGTTTCGCAGTTTGCTGTGATGCAAAGTTAAAGCTTGGTGAACTCTGACCTGCGAAATCGCATCACTAGACTGCGTGAGACCAATTGAGGATCAAAACATGACCTCTCTGGACAAAAATTTAAAATACATACCAATCACTCGCTTTTTTAAATGTCTAATAAGCTTGTTAAACCCGCCACTTTTTACAGCGCCGCACGACACATGCATGCTCAAACTAATGTTACTAATGTTACTAATGTTAATGTTACTCCTACTAGCCACTTTGGCTGGTTGAAGATAATTTTTAAATGGTAGTTTTCTTAAAAAGGAGATTTAATAAGGACTGCTTAATGAGGGCCCAGAACGAGAGATGATAATAATAACTGTACACATGAGCAAAAGAAAGCAGGTGAATACCAAAAAAACGATACTTGTGCACCCACAGTCCTGCTGCTGTCTAGAGCTCCAGGTTTTTTAAAGGTCTTTTTGTAAGCAGCAGGTTGCTTTTGATTTAACCTTTCACGTAATTATCCTTTCATTATCGCACACGGTATGTTTTTTCACCTGCTTTCTTTTGCTTACAGCTATTTTGGGCTAAGAAATATTTATTCATTTATAATTATTTATTTATTTGTTTGTTTGTTTGTTTGGTGTGGCTAAAGAAAAAAATTGGTAAATCCTTAGTGTTCAGCCTTAAAAAGTCATGTGAAATAAAAACTAATGCAATGCGACACTATGAAACCACAACCCATTTGGTCATGCTGATTGAGCAAGCTCATAACCAACAACACACAAAAAATGAATGAAATGGCATGAATGAAATGGCATGTGGACATAACACAAAATCTAAATCAAGTCATTTTAGCATGCCATAGTTAAATGTATGCATATAAAATAGATTTTCCCAACAACATAATTGTGGCCAGACAAAATGGCAAGTGGCTAGTAATGTTGGAAAACCACTAGCCACAGTGGCTGGTGACCAAAAAGGTTAATGTCAAACCCTTGTTATTAGGCGAGTCATTGTATAACGATGGTTTGTACTTTAGACAATTGAAAGAATACTGCTTAAGAGGGCTATTAATACTGACCTTAAAATGATTTTAAACAATTACAAACTGTTATTCTAGCCAAAATAAAACAAATAAGACTTTTGCAAGAAGGAAAAATATAATAGGAAATACTGTAAAAAAAATATCTTGCTCTGTTAAGCATCGTTTGGGAAATATTTGAAAAAGAGGGCTAATAATTTTGACTTCAGCTGTATATATTTAACATTTGTCATTAAGTTTTCAATGTTTTTAGTTTGCCTGGTTAAATCTATGTGAATATATGTTGTTGCATTACATTATCTTGAATGATAACTTGTAAAATCCATAAATATTCAAATATGCATGAATGTAAAGTGAACCCAGAGCAGATTTGTCATTTCAAAAGGAAATCGCACCGTGAATCTAAAGCTGCACAGAAAGTGACAAATATAAAATTGTGCAGTATTGGCTTCAGATTGTCTTGTTTGAATGCCAATATGTAATTAGCTCTGAAATCGGGGAGCAATCAACAGTGATCTTCAATAACACTAATCATTCACATATGCAGTGCTTGTAGTATGATTTGTCTATTGAGTATAGCGTGAAGTTTTCCTGCTCCAGCCTGAAGGACAGTGGCCTATATGTGTCACATTAGTGCTGCTGTGGTGTAAGTCTCTTTGGATGTGGGATAAAGTGTGTGTGTCTGACTGAAAGCCTTTGTCGGTTTAGTCCATACATGAGCTTAACACAGCAGGACAAACCTTCCCACAGCGCAACAAACACTCACTTGCTGTGCCTGTGTACATGTGTGTGTATGGCCTCCTCCGTAGATCGCTTTCATTGCTATCGGCATGAGGCAGATGGAGAGAGGAGACCAACTGAATGAAGGATGAGAGACAGAGAGGGAGAGGGGAACACTCATGTTTTTATAATACAATTCTGATGTACATTGAGAACCTTCAGGTTTGTGTTGAATGAGGTTTTGTAGGACTTATCTAACTGCAGAAAATGAGGCTGTATAATAATATAGTAAAAATTGTTCTGCTTTATTATTGAGTCAGACTTATTATTAGGCATGGGTGGGCTACAGTCTTCACCCTTTACATTTGTTTTATTATATGCCAATCAGAAGCTGCATTTCCACTGTTAAGCAAATTCTTACATTCATTCATTCATTTTCCTTCAGTTTAGTCTCTATTTCAGAGGTTGCCACAGTGGAATGAACCGCCAACTACTCCAGCATATGTTTTATGCAGCGAATGCCCTTCCAGCCGCAACCCAGTATTGAGAAACATCTATACACACACATTCACAAACACACTTATACATCACGACCAATTTAGTTAATTCAACTCATCTATAGTGCATGTGTTTGGACTGTGGGGGGAACTGGAGTAATCGGAGGAAGACCTTGCAAACACGGGGAGAACATGCAAACTCCACACAGAAATGCCAACTGCCCCAGACGGGGCTCGAACCAGCAACCTTGTTCAAAGAACTTATTTAAAATGTGCTGAACACAACTCTTGAGTATTTTGGAGGGGGCGACAACTATGATACACCCTACACCCACCCTACAGTCTTACTACATACACCATAAACCCTACTCCCTACAATTCTTTATCATACTCTGTACACCACGGGTCTCAAACTGCCGGCCCGCGGGCTATTTGTGGCCTCCCTCCTCCTATCTCCGACCCGCAACTGATGTCAAAAGTAAAAAAAGATTCGGCCCCCCAAAACATGTCAATTTCAATCTCTATCCTTGTTGTGTAGTCGCATATATCCACTTGTGATTTTAACCCCCTACCTACTGGACATTTAAAGTACTGCACTATGTGTTCGGGTTACTTTCGGTTTCTCTCAGCATGCGGTCGAGAGTAACGCACATGCAGATTATTTCTGCAGCTGATTTAAATGTTGAAATATATGTCCGTAAGTGCTGTAATTTTACTAAAGCTCTATTTTTGAGAATATTCAAGGGTCGTTTGATTATTATCAGTTTTATACCACCTGTATTGTGTTGTACAAAAGCATCTCCATGGCTTATAATGTGACACGTTATGCTGGTGGTGTAAATATGATCATTTTGCTAATATTCGATTCAAATAGTCTCATCTAATAGATTTTCTTCATATGCATATTAAGATTTGTATAAAAATGTGCATTAAAAAAATACCGCTGGCTAAATTGAACATGTTAAAGTAAAAGTGCGGCCCTCCTATGAATTGTCAGTCACTGATATAACCCCCGGCCAATTTGAGTTTGAGACCCCTGTCGTACACCATACAACTTTTTAAAACCTCCTACACAGCAACTCTACTATACCACCCTACACAATTCCACCCTACACCATATACCCAACTGCATACCTTACATACCACGTACTACACCTTACTCTATACTCCCAACTACCTTAATTGTTTTATGTTCAGTCCATTTAAACCTAAAATTAAAACCAATACGTTAATTAATTCCTTAATTTTGTTCAATATTTAATGTTGTTAAATATTGATGTTTTCTGACATTTATAGAATAAAACATATAAAAATTATGACATATATAAAACATAAAACATATATAAATTACTCAGACCCACATCTAATAAACCCTCTAAATGCAGAGAAATTCAGACCTTAATGCTTTTTTTGATTAGACAGTTTCGGAGAAACACAAACAGACATGGACCAAAAGTTAGATTTATCTAATTGGTCCCTCTTTACATTAAGTGGCCTTAAAGGTGCAGTAGATGATTGTCTCTAAAAACATTTTTTGTTGTTTTGGTTGAAAGTCTCTTCACATTCCAAATGTAATGATTAAAGTAAATGATCTAAATATATTTATATGTACAGGTGAAGTCAGAATTATTAGCCCCCCTGTTTATTTTTGTTTTACGAAGAGATTTTTTTTAAACACATTTTTAAACATAATTGTTTTAATAACTTATTTCTGATAACTGATTTCTTTTATCTTTGCCATGATGACATAATATACAGTACATAATATTTGACTAGATATTTTTCAAGACACTTCTAAACAGCTTGAAGCGACATTTAAAGGCTTAACTAGGTAGGTTAACTAAGCAGGTTAGGGTAATAAGGCAAGTTATTGTATAACGATGGTTTGTTCCGCTGACTATCGAAAAACATTTAGTTTAAAGGAGCTCATTTTGACCACAAAATGGTTTGTAAAAAAATTAAAAAACTGCTTTTATTCTAGCGGAAATAAAACAAATCAGACTTTCTCCAGAAGAAAAAATATTATCAAACTGTGAAAATTTCCTAGCTCTGTTAAACATAATTTAGTAAATATTTAAAAAGAAAGAAAAAATTCAAAGGGGGCTAATAATTCTAATTTCAACTGAATTTGTATAAGACAAAAAATATTCATCCAATTAAAATTGTCGGGCCA